GCGAAACGCAAGAGTTTTCTTTTCGAGGTAATTGTCTGATTCAAATAGAGTTTCCCATGAAGGTTAAAGTCAATAAAGTAGTCTTCAAACAAACCGGTAAGGGCGTCAAACATATTTCATTATTCAATGATGGTAATTTGGAAGAGAATATACGTTTGATTGATAAAAGGGATCAGGAAATTGAAACGAAAAATGGTAAATATGTAGACACCTTTAAAATGGAAGTAGAAAATGATAAGGATATCATTGGAATCAAAGATTTGGATATGATATTGGAGACGGAAAATCCACCATTAACCAACATTGTCAAAATTCCACCATCACTTATAATACCCGTATACGTACCCGGACCAATAGAATCGAGCAGTCACGAGTTTTTACGAACAACAGACTTTGAATACATAAAACTGTATTTTGTTTACGATGGAAAATACACCTCGATCGATGTTCATAAAAGTCAACAAGAAAGAGAGTTTATAGTACATTTATCGTTTGCCGAAGGTTCCGACTCCATCCTTGAAGGTGGTGGTTTTATTTCTAGAGCCAAGATAAACATCGAAAAAGAAAAAATAAAATATTCCTATCATCTTAAAGAGGAACATACGAAAAAAGAAATGTCGTTAGTACGCGTAAATGTTTTTACTTTTAATACCCGCAAATATAATAATGCTAGGCCAAACAAGTACGTTCTATACGATATTCCGTGGTTCCATTTATCGGAAATTCACTTAATTTAACGACTTAAAAAATGGAACTCGAAAGCAGACAACAATACATGATAGACAAAAAAGAAGAGTTGAAAATAAAGTTGAGACAGTACAATTCATGCAGGAAAACATGGAGTAGAATCGATTCTGTTTTCAAAACAGCGAGTGTAGTTCTAACGATAGGAACAACACTTGCAACGGCCGTGACTGGTGGATTAATGGTTCCTGTACTTGTCCCAACTGTATTAGCCACAATTACTGCTATTCAAACTTCATCTTGTGGCTTGATTGCTATAGGTTTCACGAGCAAAAAGAAAGCTCATTATAAAAAGAAAACGGATATCTTGAATATGTATCTTAATCAATTGTACATCTTTTTCGAAAGATCGAGAGAAGACAAGAACATAACAGTTGAAGAATTACAAGAATTCAATGAAATTTTGGACAAATTCCATACAGAAATATCAGCGGTCAAAATAAAGAAATAATCAAAAATATATACTTAAAAAAATATGAATAAAATCGAACTTGATGAAACATTGATAGAAAAAGCCCTATTTTCCGATGTTATCAAGGCTATCTCTGATAAATTTAAAACATTCAAAGGACAAATTAAAATAGATGGAGAGATAGTCGAGGAAGGGAATCACAGACAATACATGTCACTCCTCGGTTTCAATGCCAAAACCTTTCACAATTCTTTCAAAAAAATCCGATGCTTCCGATTGGTATTTTACAGGAAAAATAATTGAAAGACAATTTCCAAGAAATAAAAAGGTCGAGAGTTGGTAGAGGAGGAACTGATCTACTTAAAAAGATAAATGAATACGAAGGCGAAAATTGTTACATACCTACAGATGGTCACTGTTTTATCAAATGCGTCAATCGTGTTTTGAGCAAAGATTTAACGTGTAAATTTCAAGAATACATCAACGGGTTTTCAAAAGCAAATAGAAAAGGAGTGATGACTTGTGCTAGAATGAATGAATTCAACAAGAAATTTAACACTTCGTTTCAAATTTATAATCCCAAAAACAGACATTTTCACCCCAGAGACGTTCACGATGAATTAGATTGGGTTTTGTACTTACACAACTCGCATTTCTGTTTGATTAGAAGAAGCCAAAAAAGTTTGGGAATTCAAGAAATAGAAGATAATTACGAACAGGTGTGGAAAACGTGTAGAGACGACAACGCAATAACACAGGTTTCACCCCTCAAACTAAACGTGCTTTCGAGTATGAGTGATGATGCGTTATTCGCTTGGGATTGCGAAACGTATTCAGAAAAAGACACGCGAAGAGCAATTCCTTATGCCTGCACTTTAATTAATTTAGAAAAACTAAGGAAAATGTTAAACAGAATAAATAATCTATTTCCAGATTTAAAGCCTACAGATCCCATTCCAGAAGAATTTTATGATAAACTAATGAATGTAGTAGAAATATTTGTAGGTACAGATTGCATCGATCAAATGTTGAAATATTTAGGTCAATATGATAGAAAGAGATTAATATTAATTTCTCATAACGGCAGTGGATTCGACAACTGGATCGTGCTTAAAAATGCAAAAAAACTAACGCATTGCCCTTTAAAAACACCCAGAGGAATTCTATCTTTTCCTTTATCTACATACACGGATGAAGATTTACAGAAAAAATGGAAAAGACAGAAAGAAATAAAGGGTAATTATTTACAACATATTAATTTCACGTGTTCCTATCAACACGAATCCTCTAGTTTGGCTGCATGGGGAAATTCTTCCAATCTACCCGCGAAATTGAGAAAGATTGCCGACGTAGATATAAATATACGCAAGACAACTGGGAGGAATTGAGACACGAATAGGAACCTTACGCCAAGAGAGACACTCTCTGTTTGGGAGCTTGTTTGATAAAATACAACCAAGTCACGAAAGACGTTGTAAACCAGAATATGTCCAATAATCCAACGGCTCCATCTTTATCTTTAAAGAGTTGGTATTATTTATATCATTACGATAAAGAAATGGTGGAAGAAGAATGGTATGAAACTACTAGAATGGTTGCGAAACATACCGAAAAAGAAAATATAGAAAAAGTTTATTCGCACACTAATCCTTTTATAAGAAATTTTATCAGACGATCTATTAAAGGAGGAAGAGTTTCGGCAAATAGAAAATCATTTGAAACGAACAAAATGGATGAAATTTGTAACGTATTAAAGGAATATATTTCACAAAGTGAAACACGAAGTGACACAGAACTTGAAAGTAATAACATAATTGATTTATTCAAAGAATACAGCGCAAGCACAAAAGACAAAACGGAGGTTCATTCGAGACTTAAAAAAATATAATGTACTAAACTAATGGCATTTGATGCTAACGGTTTATACGCTTCCGCCATGTCGGATTTAGACAGTGAATATCCGAGAGCGGAAAGTGGAAGACCGTTTCTACCAGAAGAAGAAAAAGAATTTGTAAAACTCTTCAATAAACAAAAATTCAGACCTAGAACAGCTATTTTAACAGTGTGGTTTGACTATCCCAAAAACATGTTCTTCCAACCGATACCAGCTAAAGATAAAATCACTTTCACG